ACCTCCTGGTGCCTGGGTGGCAGCGGTTGCCCCCTGTCCCCCTGTGTCACCTTTGCAGAGGTGGCAGTTTGTGATTTCTGAAGGTTTCTGTGAGGGGGCTCCAACAGTCCCCTCAATTTCTGGGCACAACCGTCAGGAGCCTCGTGCTGAGGGTTTGGGATGCGCCTTGCCTAGCAGGGAATGGGTGGCCTTTTCCTAGTGAAATCCCTGTCATCCTTTGGAGAAATCCCTTCTGCAGTATTCACTGCCTTTGCTTCACATGCCTTGGAGCCAGGGCAGTTAAGGCGGGGTGATTAGCTGCTGTATTAAATTAAGATATTGGGAAAAAAAGTCTACACAGGAAGAGTAGTCCAGCGTTGGAAGCGGCTGCCCAGGAAAGTGGTGGAGTCCCCGTCCCTGGTAGTGTTTGGGAAACATGTAGATGAGGCAGGTAGGGACATGGGATAGCGGCCGGGTCATGAAGAGTTTGCAGTAGGACTTGATCTTGAAGGGCTTTTCCAGCCATAATGATTCTGTGATTTTATAATCCTATGAATTGGGCTGTTTTTTATTGCAAAGTTTCCTTTAGGTCTTCTCAGAGCGCAGGAAGGGTTGATGTGAATGTCATGCTCTCCTTTGAAATCTAGGCCTTCTAGGATTGCTCTAGCCAACCACGTAGCTTATTCCCAGCTTACTGGGGGGACAAGCTTCAGTTTTTGCTGAATTTTTGCACAATCTGCAACACATGAGTTGGAGAACCGTGTTAGAGTGATGATAGAAGTGGGGCACCCTGCGGATTTGTCAGCACCATAGTGTAGTCGTGTTTATTAGCATGTGTTGCTTGCCATGATCCCGTGATGACAATGACTTGGTAGTGTTGGGTTACACAGGGAAGCCCCAAATTGTCCCACACCATTAGGATGCAATGGTTTTTAAAGTTGGACTCTGGCTGCTATTGTAATTTTATTGGAGTTTAGACTTTGGTGCTAAAATAAATTGGAAAAGTTAATGCCTGACTTGGGCTGCAGTCCTCTAAAGATTTGGGGGTGGTGGTCTGGAATATAAATGGGCCCTTTCCTACCGTAAAAACAGTGATGGAGACTGTTCCAGATGTGGGTTTTCTACTTGAACACGCCGTTATAGGCACCTAATTCTATACTGGTCACCAGAATAATCTGCAGCAGACATTTCAGAAAGTGCTTATTGCTTTTTCATATGCTTAGGACAGCTAAATATGCTGCACCAGTTGGCTACAAGATCCCAAAGCTGCCACTCATCTTGAAAATCTAAATTGATGCCTGCAGCACCGATGTCAATTTGTATGTATAAAGGCTTAATACAGTAAAGGGAAATGTACTGGCAGACAGCAGGAGGAATGTATAAGAGAAGAGCTAGAACTATAAAGGACACTTTATCAGTCTAATGTCTTTTATTCACACACAATAAGATTTGCTGATTTTTTTTTTCTCTGGCAATACTATTTCTGCTACCCATTTAATAGCTATTGCTGCTATCGTTTCTAAAACACCAGCAGGGTTATTTGAAATGTGACTGCAGAGGGTGTTAAGCTGAAGATCACCTGCAGCGTGAGGGTGCTCCCTTTTGACAGCCTGCCTGGCCTGATATCCCCTGTGCTGCAGCAGCTGGTACCTGCCGAGGAAGCGAAGCCTCTTCCTGCTTACGTGGGGGAGACGTTACCTGCCCTGTGCTGAGCCTGGGCCCGTGTCCCGAGGGTGGGTTGGCTGTGTCATTTGATCCTGCCTGGTGAACTCTTGATTCTGTTCTTACTCGTGTATCCAGCTATTTTAATCATTTATGTTTGATGTCATTGAGCAGCAATGCGGAGTTCTGATCAAGTTGGCTCCCATTTTAAAATAGAGAGAAAAAAAGAGAGGTGCTGCATCCTACATGCTGCTAAATAGAGGGCTCTGCAAGGCAATGCACCTGCTGGGGCACCTCGGAGAGGGTCGTGTATTAGCAAACTCTTTCCAACTTACTTACTAGACCAAAATAGAAACCTATTTACCCTTCACGAGCTGTTCAGTGTCTTTCATGCTGCTTTTCCCTAATCAATTATAAACTATTTTTAGCCGTCATCAGGATTTTCTACCTTCCATCCTTATCCCATAGCACTTTATCCTATTTGATCCTGCAGAATAAAAGAGGAGGCAAAACTGGCCGTGGAGCAAAGAAGTCTTGTAGCTTGCACAGCCCTGGCCAACGAGCACACGAGCAAAGCTGTCCAGCTCTGTTCTCATTAAGTGTGTATTCGCAGCTGATCTGTCAAATCTTCTCAAGCAGAATTTAAGGACTCTTCTCCAGATTACATGCTTCGTTACCCTTGTAGGCCAAGCTGGGCAGAAGTGGAGGGGAAAGAACATGCTTTGCATTCTTGAGCAGCATAATAGGGGCCACCAGCATCCCACATCGTATGAGAAGTCACCTAAGCTGTTGTTTTCACTGTCCTTCACACAACCCTTCAGTTGAAATGAGAAGTTTTCTCCATGAAGTTTTAAGAGTTGTGTGATATTCCCATCTCTTTTCAGATTGCTGACCCTGCAGCCTGTGACCAGATGTACGAGAGCTTAGTCAGAATCCACACCAACTACTACAAAAACAAGGTGAGCTTTGGCATTGGCTTAGGATCCCCATCCCATTGTGATTTTCTGGGAATTTATAGTAGACAAGTGAACAGTGAGCTGCACATAGCACTGCCTGGTGCTCTTGGTTTCTCCTAGGTGGAGAACTTGGCCTGTGTAACATGTATGAACAATACAGATAGTTCTTGCTATGGATGAACTAAATTTGCAGAGCTTGTCTGAAAATGAGCGTGAACTCAATAATGTCACCACAGAATAATTTGCTTTAATGCAGTGCAAGTCAAATTCCCTCTCTCCTTCTGTTGGCTCCTTGTTCATTTATGAAGTATCCACGTCTGAAAGACACAACCTTCACTGGAGTGACTGTAGAAGACTGCAAGATGATCTTAGCAACAGGTACTAATACGTTGTTTAATTAGGGAATAACACTTTGTAGGAGACAAAAGTACATTCCACTCTTCGTGGTGTTTGCTGCATGACTTCTGCTAAACACCTGTTCAGGGCAGAATGGGACTGCCATGCAGCTCTATTAGGTTGCTTAAAGAGGAATAAGGTCAGGTATCATTGAGGAGTTCTTAATTATTAATTTATCAGGACAAGGAGTTGATTGTATTTTGCACTGGCTGGAGATAGTAAAGGATTTTACAAGGATTGCTTGAGACTGGATATCAGGATCTATGGGAAAGAAAATCATGGCATATTTATCATATCATTCTAAAAATGCTCAGTTTCTATTATATTTTCTTCAAATTCCCTTCAGTATTTCTCCTCTTGTATTAGACTTTGAGAGAGCAGGGTACCATTATGCACAAATACACTCAGCCAAGTCATTTATTAAGTGCAGTGTAGGAATCTAGTGCAGTTTTGTTCTGCTCCAGTTCCTAACTTTGATTGCAGTGTGTGGAAACTGAATATTAGTTGTTAGTGATAAGAGACTCACCACAAAATTGATTGGATGCAAAACCAAATTTGCCTCAAGCACTGAAATAGAAATTCATTAAGATAAAAAGTCAAAAAGGAAAATATATGTAAGGCATATAAGCTCTGGTAAGAAGACCTTTCATTCTTTTGCTTTGCTGGTTTTCTTCCTCATTCCCCATCTCTCCCCCTTCTCCTTTTGCAGACATTCTGGAACAGATGAAGGGAATGAAAAAAGGGACATGGAGAAAATTGCGAGAAAGGTTTTATGCCAAGAAATCTGAAGAGGACTCAAAGTGATAGGCTGTCTCCCAGCTTCTCCACTGTATATATTCCTAAAGCGATGTATGCTGCCATTATGAATAAAGCCATTCATTCCTCCTAGCAACAACATTTTATTCAGACATACACCTTATACACTTCATCTTGCGACCTCCCCGCTTGCTTGTGGGGGACACTAGGCCTTAGGTAAATGCAGTTGCTGCGTATTTGCTGACAGGTAAGGACAGGATTTTAATCGTGTGTTGCCGGTAGGGCTGCCATCAAGTTCAAGTGTGCTCAATCCATGCTGCGGCCTATTTTTAATTTCTTTGCGAAGCTTTAAGGCTTGCATCAGTGTCTGTTCGGGGGAGGCAGAGGGCTGGAGAGTGTTGACAGAGCACTGAATTGTTGCAGAGCTGCTTGGCTTGAGGAGGACGAGAGTCTAGAGCACAGCTATGCCAGGACTCCGCTTGGCTACAGGAAGCACCAACAGCTGCTCCTTTTTCTGTATTTGAACAGTGTTTTCCTGGCAAGTAGTAAAAGAATCTGAAACTTTGTAGCAGGCTCTAAGCCAAAGCTTCAGAAAACAAGGCTGGTGTTCGAGGTATTTCTTCATGGTAACATTATTTTTTTCACTTTCTGACTTGAACTTCACATGACATTTTAGCATTTACCATCTGGAACATTGCGTTATAGTGTACCTTGAGTAATACAGCGTTGGCCTGGCTTCAGGTCTTTGGATTATTCTGCATTTGTGCCTTTATTTATTTATTTTTAATAATTGCCGCATTGCATACCAGAGCACACAAGAAGGGAGCCTTCTTTATCATGTTTCGGTTTTTATTGTAACTTGCTTTTGTATTTAATTTAGTTAAGGCAATTTACAATTTAGTTCTTAAGTCACAACAACAAAAAGTGTAACATTACACCAGAGATGAAATTAAAACACAGGACACCCCTTCACAGTGAACTCCTGTAAACTCCTTTGTCCACAGAAGGCCAAAGACCAGTTCATACAACGAGAGCTTTGCTGCTCACCCCCATCTGGTGATTGAATTTACCAATGCATCTCCATGAGTGTAGCTCCTCTTTACTGCACCCCCGTGAGGGACACAACTCTTTAAATGGAGAAGAATCAGCATGGAGCGGGTAGGGCAGATACGAGGGCTGGTTTGCAGAGATCCACGTTACTACTGACGCTTTTGCAATAAGTTAAATATTGCACCCTACACTAGTTACACTACAAGTGATAGCCAAGGTGCAGGCCACCGGAACGTAGTGCATGGAGATAAAGATACAACCCACACTTGCAAAATCCAGGTATTGCAAGGAGGGATAGAAGTCCTGTATAATCATCTTCCTACAAGGGCAGGAGAGTAGGTCGGGGTCCGGGTGGTGGATGGAGTCCTCACCAGCGCCTGGTTTGTTTGCTGCTGGGCGGGATTGCTTACCTAAGCGACCTAAGGAGAACGGGGGCTCGGAAGCTCCTCAGCGTGGCCTCCTCCGACGGCAACGGAACAAGCAGCCCTCGCTAGCTGATAGATCCGTGTAGTCCCTTGGTGGGTGACGGCGCTGACTCTGCTGTGTTCTAGTGGTTCATGGTGTTCTGGACATCCACAAACCCCATCCTTTGCCTGCGCTTCCTTTGCTCCGTCATCTGGAGTTCAAACAAGGACTCAGTGAGGTAGGAAACCAGGCCGCCTCCTTTCTCTTCCCAACGCGCTTGTCAGACATGTGACTTTAAGCATCTGCCAGAAAGCCCTACGAGTTGGACTCTAGCTGATGAGGAATTAAGCTATCAAAAAGCACGTCCCAACTGTTCCTGACCTCAAAAAGCTCAAGAGCCCTTTGCTTTGTATCTGAGGCTGCACAGGATTGGGCTGCTACCATCTCCTGTTCCTTGAAATCTGTATCTATTTCAGTAAGGACATTGACGTTCTACAGCCAGATGTTCCCCAAAGGTCCCTGTTTGTTTTAATAGGTGCATCGTACCTGTTCCTTCAGCTCGTTCAGCTGGGAGGTGAGATGGGACACCAGCTTCATCGTGGAGTTGAGTTTGTCTTGGAGATTTCGGATTTCATTCTGCTCCCCTTCCCCTTCATTGCTAACCAGTGACATGGCTCGCATCCGGGGGAACCAGTCAAGGTTCTTGTTCTGAAATAGTGAAGTTGGAGAGAGGGTGGAGAAGGGAAGACACAAAGCAGGATTTAACAGACTTTTGTAAGCCTGCTGTACTAAGGGACTAGGCAAAGTTCTCAAGAGGTTGCCTCGTCTGGGTCTTGTCAAATTTTTCACTAATGGTCTTATTTATTTTCTAGCTTTTTCTTATTGCCCTCTGGGTTTGAGTTCAAAGTTTTTTGCAGACCTCCCTTCTCTCCCCTCCTGCCTTGTCTCTAGTCCCTACCACTGTTCTTGCCCTTGGTACAATCCTTAAATACCCTGTACAAAACATATAATACATAACGTGTTGTCGACTGAGATTGCAAAGTAGAAACCAGGTAAGAAAAGAATTAAGGGGCAACTACATAATTACATATTTTCCAAAAGTTCTATCTTAAGCTGTGTATTTTTTTTGTCAAGCCTGCTGGTCTCAAACGTTTCCCTGTGGATGGCAGTGGTGAGCGCTGCCCTGCGTTCCCTCGAGGCTCCGGTACCTTTATCATCTGCGCCACGTAACTCTCCGGCCCCGTGTAGTCCGTCTTGTTCTTCACTCGCACCAGCACTATGAAGTACAGGTAGTTCCACATGTTGTGCTCATATTTAATATGCTCCTCAAAGGACACCGTCTTGTTGTCAAACTTGTCCCTTTCAAGACCTGGGAGAGGCAATCAAGGAAGAGAAGATGGGGAGAGCGGGAGAAGGTGAGCAAGGAACAAGCAAACAAATGTGGAAGGAAGTACAGATAATTGCATCCTGTCCCAGGTGTGACTTTCAAAAAGTGCTTTTAATAATTAGTTGGCATTTAGCACAGAACAAGCATACAAAACGGGGAAAATAACCCAGCTGCATATTCAGGATGCTTCTATTTAAAGTGCTACAAGCTATGTTTCCTGCATACACATCTAAAAGCATAAAAGGCACCGAGTAGATCTCATAAAAAACACCCCATAAGACTAGCTTTTCTTTTTGTTTTTGCTGCCGGCCTACAACCATGAGCATTCTGAAATGCCCTGAATTTTATTTCCTTAGTAATATGGTGCTTTTTTTGCTACTTGATAAGTGATGGCCTCAAGAGCAATAGATGCACAGCATTTGGTTTAATACCTCATTAATGGGAGGCAAATTAAAATACAGGTAATTTCTCCCCTCTCAGTCATGTCCTTGCTTAAGCCTGCTTATACTGTAGTGACCCACTAGTGGCCAGATTTAAGTCTCTGCTGCAAAGTCAGAGAAAAACCAAAAGCACCTGAAAGTGCATTCCTTCCCTATGCTTAGGTAACCTTAAAAGAAAGTTTGTCTGCAGGAGGAACCAGGGGAGGAAAGTCCTGTGCACACAGCGGGCCGAGGCGCTAGCGCTCACCACATATGAAGCAAGTGGTCTTCAGTATTTCTTCCTTCTTCTGCTTCTCGCTCCTCAGATCAGCAAAGGTATCGATGATGACCCCAAAGATGAGGTTCAGGACAATGATAATCACGATGAAGAAGAAGAGGAGGTCGTAGACAACCCGTGCAGGAAACAAGGACTCCTGCAATGGACATGAGGGAGAAACGTGTCTTTTTCCACACCCTTGCTGCAGTCTCTCCAAAAGGGACCAGAGACTGAGGGTGCAAGAGGAATAACAGGCACACAACAGGGGAAGAGAGGTGGAAGGCAACGACAGCTGAGGGGGAATAGAGCTGGAAGCGTCGACATTTGCAGGGAAGAAGGGAGCAGGGCTGGGTGCACTCACATCCTTCGATGGCTTCCGCAGAATGTCCCCTACGCCCCCGCCGTTCCTCAGCCCATGGTTCAGCACGGTGACGATGCACATGAGCAGCGTGTCGCACGCACGTTCCCACTGGTCAGGGTCCCTTTCTACAACAACATTGGGGGAAATAAAAGCAAGAAAACCCACAGAACAGACAGGGCAAATTAACAGACTATTGCAATGACCCAGGGATGCAGTGCCCTAATTCCCTGGAGGCAGGTGCTTGCTGGGTACATCCTGACCAGCAACTTTGCAGTGATGACTCCAGCTCACTTCTTGCTGTGGAGGCAGCTGTCTGAGCGCTCCTGAAATTCCTACCTTCCTTTATGACTAAACTGAATCTGCATCAACGTTTTTATGTCTGTGCAAATTTTGCAGGCTCTCACTTAGCTATCTGCAAGAGAGTGGGCTGTATGTGTCTGTCTTTGAAAAAGATATTGTAGCATTTTTTTCCCAGTTCACTGACAAATAAGGCAGCCATCCTACTCTGCTGCTAACAGGGTCAGTCTTTTTAACGAGCTCTCTTACCTTCCAGGGCAGTGGGCACAGCAGAGCAGCTAATTTTGTCACCACTGCATGACTCCATGAAAGTCTCCATGTTCCTTTGCATTCCCAAGGGGTCACCTGCAAGCACAGGAGACCACAGCCTCGTCAGAGCGGCAGTCTCAGGGAAGCTCTCTGATCCCATCACAAACGCTGCATTCTTCCAGCTTCAGCGCTCTTTGCAAAAGGTTTCTTCATATTCTCCTGGCTTTGAAGCTTTTGCTCAAGTTTCAGAAAGACTTTTACGGTGCTAAAGCTTTGCTTGCAGCTGAACGTTACCCGCTCTGTGACCCCTTGTAGCCCTTGTGACATGCTGTTCTCTACAGCACTAGGTTCCTAATTCAGCACAGGCAGCTGCCTGCTCCAGCAACCCCCAAACTGGTGCTAAAGCTCCTGGAGCAAACACACACACTCTGACCCACTTCTGGATGTGGGAAGGAGCATGGATCTCATGTGCCCAAGCCCATGCAGCGATGCAGCTACCGAAAGGGGACTCCTTGGGCCCTCCCTAGCCCCAGCGCCGCAGCCTGGCAGAGGGGAGCTGAACCTTTGGCTTTGCTGTCCGGCAGTCTGTCCACCTCCAGGATGAAGTCATCTTTCAGGAACAAGAAGCCCACGATGGAGAAGAGGTAGACGAGGATAAGAGCCAGGAGGGCTGTCAACAGGATGGAGCGCCCGTTCCGCGTCACGCTTTTGATGACATTAAACAAGGTCTCCTCACGGTAGATCAAGTCAAAGAGCTGAAAAGGACCCAGAAGCAAAGAAATGCAGCAGGGTGCTATTCTGTGATAATGCTTGGCCTACCTACATCTCCTTTTATCCTGAGATCTTGTAGCAGTCAGGAGACATTGACTAAATTTCACATAAAGCATTTAAGTTTCCCGTCTTCCTGTGTGGAAGCGCAGAAGAATGAAGTGACTTTTTCACAGGGGAGAGCCAAGAATAGGACACAGGCACCAGCCTTTGCCCTCACCAGCTCACGTTGCCTCCCAGCTGACCCAGATAAAGGTAACAGTAGAGATTAGAAACAAAGAGATAGCAAGACCTGGACAGAGACAGTAATAGGTATTGTCACAAGACAGAAAGATCAGCCTATGCCAAGATTAGAGCACAGCAAGTTGTTCTCGCTGCTGTTACCACTCAATCCCTGCAACGTTTCACAGGAGCCTTCTAGCGCACCACTAGCTACATGAGATCCCCAATATCCGAGTTTGCCATACCAGGATGCTATAGAAGAGTTCGTGCACGAAGAGGCCCAGGACACTGGTCAGGATGTAGCCAACGTGGTAGAGAAACTCCACATCCATGATCATGGCCTTGTAGCCTCGAATGAAGGTCCCACGGTTCCCCACGAAGCTCACCACAAAAACAATCTTGTTGGTTAGCTAGGAGACAACGGGCAGAAACAGAAGGGAGTGGGGATTGCCACAATTTATGGACCGTTTTTCTGATGTGTTGCACTGCTTTTCCAGTGCAAAGAGAACTTACATTGAGAGCTCCCAGTATATTCAGAGTGAGTCCAATTCCTAAGTAATAGATTGATCGCAGGATCAGCGCCACGAGGAGTGGTCGGACACCGTAGCGCTTAGTAAACAGGGCCATGATAGAGAAGCAGATAAGAATCCAGAACAGCAAGGAGATGAGTGGGGAATCCAGCACTCCTGGAAAGAGAAAACCCATGACAATGAAATTAAATGCATACTGCCCACTGGACACTCTGTGCTGCCCTTAGAAAGTGAAGAACTGGCTAAAAAAGACACACCAGGATGAGCTGATTATCACAGGGAGGAAAGAAAGAAATTACACTTGACTGCAAAGACTTGTCTTGACTAAGGTGGTTCTTATATTTTTCTAGCATCTCTTACTGAGATCTCAAAACACTGTAAATTATTCAGACTTTGCAGAACAGTTGCTATATATTGTGTCTTTCCCCATTTTACAACCAGGGAAAGTGCAGCTCAGGGAGAAGAGCCTTCCCTATTAAAAAGTGGTGGAAGAGTTGGAAACAGAAATCTTGGTTGAGTCCCTTGTTTTGGCCAGTAAAAAAAGACCTGGGACTTTCAGAGTTGAGAAGACTAAGGGTTGGGAGAGTATTGGTATGGGAACCAATTTTCTCTTTATTCGAGGATTCCCTTTTTTCTTTGTTTGGAGGAGCAGTGGCTGCTCAGGCACTTACCCATGGAAGTGGCTTCCACATAGGGGTAGAAGAAAGCAATGATTATGTTGATGAAAACCGCGAGGTTGAAGGAAATGCTTCCCCAGAGAGTCATTCTGCGGGAGAACCAGTACATCAGCGGCATGCCTGGAGGAAGAGGAGGTAAACACAAATCTCAGCTAACTTCGTGCCAGCTGGGTAAGGCTTTGTTCTCTCCGATATCCCAACAGATCCACTCCGTACAGCTAATGGGCCCGAAGGGATCCTTGCCTCCCACTTCCTTCTAACCCTTAATAAAAGCTCCCTCCTCATCTCCTGAAATGGATGTACAAGTTCAAAATATTATGGATCACATTTCTTGGCTTCTCAGCCCTTTGACCTGCTCTGGCACTATGGAATAAGAGTGGTTGTGTTCCTCCCAGTCTCCCATCACTTACATCCTCACTGCTTGCATCCTTCTAAACAGCAGTGTCTTTGTGTTTGCAACACGGATTCTCTGTCCCAGAGGAGACCCAACCAGCAATTTCCCATCCATACTGGAAACTTGTTTCCTGTTGAATTCCTAAGATAGTTTTGGCTGGATCTGCAATTACTTTCAAGTGCTGCTACACCACCTTTCAGCTGCATAGCAGTATTTGTAGTATTTTTATGATTCCTAACTGTTTACTGATGTCCTGTTCTTTTAAGCTGGGAAGTTAGTCCTAGTGTGTCCCTGAAACACCAGGATTGGATGGTGCAGAGAACCAAGCTCCTGATTCCCATGTGCTCTGCTCCTCATGAGTGGCCAAGTGCACTGTGCTCTGTGGAGCAAGGACCACAAGGACCCTGCAGACCTGGTCTCCAGGCTGCTGCCAGTATTCACAGTGATTTCCAAGCACCCCTGGCCTGTAGATTTCCAAAGATGGGCAATTTGTGGTGCCCGTTGTGTCCTGACTGGGGCAGGGGGTGTCTAAGGGGAGATCTGGCTTGCTCTTACTGCGCAGTTTCTTCTGCCATTCCATCTCATTGTGGAGGAAGGACGACTGGTCAAAGAAATCACTGACTTTGCTGCCCTGCTCGTCTTGCTCCGTGGTGGTGAAGAGCCGGTACTTGGTCTCCTTGGTGAGGAACTCGCAGATGCCAGGCACTGGGAAGATGATCTGCTCCATGCTCCGGTCCAGGCGCACAATCTGCAGGAAGCAGGGCGAGAGGGGGTGCAGTGAGATCCTGCCAGCTTCCATTTCCTTTTGCTCAGCTTCAATCTCACATTCCCTTCCTTTCCCCCAGATCCCATAGGAGCTGAAGCACCCGCAGCTCATGTAACTCTCCGGAACGGTCCAAACACACACAGCCCTCCTGGCTGTGCTGGAGGAAGCTCGCAGCACACGAATCCTTGCTGGCCCAACTGCAAGAAAAAGCACCCAGCAAGCACGGATGAGGCTGCCGAAACGGCTGCCTCCCAGGTGCTGCTGAAAGAGAAGGAAAATCGCAGACTTTCCAGAGAATCTGCCTGTTTTCCAGCAAGTCATATTTCCAGCTCATATTTGCACCTCAGTGCAGGGCACAGGGATAGGAAGATGCTTAGCGAAAAATAACAGGGCACAAAACAGGCCTGAACGCAGGTGGGATTCATCAACCCAGCATGCTGCAAACCCAGAGGTCTTGCCTCGATCTGGGACGTGTGTTTCTCGTAATAGGCCAGCGGGTCCTCCTCCTCCTCCTGCACGGGGGCCGACGACTTCAGCATCTGCGTGAGCTGCTTGTTGTTCAGACTGAGCTGGGACGAGGGAGAGGGAGAGGGTGAGAAGCTTCAGCCAGAATCGGCCGGGGGGGATTCGCATCTAACTCTGCACTGACAACACCGGTCCTCAAAATGTACCAAATCTGATGAGGTTTCAGGGAAAAGCAAATGAACTGAAGCTTCCGAAAGGGATGCAAGAGCTCCTTGAGGTGACAGGCGTTCAATTCCCTACAATAATTACATCCCCAAACTGCTAATCCACAAATTGCAAATCAATGCCCATAAAACCCCAGGGAAATCTTATTACTGCTGAATCTTGTTCGGGATCTAAGGTACGCAGGCAGCAAAGGACAGCAAAGGACTCAGTCCTGCCTTTTCTGCAGGGAAGGAGAGAAAGCAGCCACTACCAGGAAAGCCACCCTCCACAGACAGCTAGTGACACAGCCACTGTGTTTGCAGCTTGGGTTCCAAGGGACACGGTTTTCTTTAATCCCCCCAGTAATAGCAAAATGTGTCAACTCCTAAATGACAGAAAGCAGGGCACATGAGCTAGGCTGGGAGAAGCAGCTTTTTGTAATCTCCAGTCAGGGTCAGAGCGGGTGGGGGAGCTCTGCCTTCCTTCTCAAGGCTTTCCCATACCATGGATGAGATGCCTTCCTCCTCTTCCTCCTGGATTCGCTTCACTGGCTTCAGGAGCTGCTGCAGAGACTTGTTGTGTCGGGAGAGCTGGGAGAGGGACAGCGATAGCCGGGTTAGCAGAGGCTCACGAGCAGCCCCTGCAGTGCCACGAGGGACAGCGAGCGAAGCCCTGCACGGGCATGGGAGGCTAAAGCAAACTCCCCAGCTGAGCAGCCCCAGGATGCCAGCCCGGCTGGAGAAAACACATCAAGAAGTAACGAGAAAAACGTGCAAATCAGCAAGCAGAAGCTAGAGCGCAGCCCTGCGGGGCCCGGGCCTGGCAGGGGGACGCTGCTGCGAGAGCAGCCGTGCGCGGTGGCACTGCCAGTACCTGCAGCGCCAGGATGTAAATGTTGTGGCCGACCTCCCGCGGGGACACCTCGGCGTTCTCGCACTCCTCCTCCTGCAGATAGGCCTTCTTGATGACGTCCACCTGGAAGGCACCAGCGACACGTGAGCTCTCTGCCCAGCCTGGCCCGTTTTCCTCCCCTGGCCACTGGCATTTCAGACCCGACGGCAGGGAAAGGCCATTCATGCATGAGGCTGCGTGTGGCGAGTCCTAGCAATGGTTGAGGCGCTTTTGGGGCTGCAGATCAGGGACCCCGTTAGGGCCCACAGGCCTGATGGGTCCAGACAGTGGTGTAAAATAGGAGGAAAGAGCCGGAGCTGCAGCCCCTCCTGGCACCCGGAGCACAGCCCAGGGACGAGGCTCTCCCCCATCCCCGAAGCCGTCCCCACAGCCTCGAGGTGCCCCTGGGACTGGTCGTGTCACCTCTGCTCAGCCCTTACCAGCTCCTGCGGGCGAAGGCTGATGAGGATGCGCTCCGCGTTCTCGCTGTCGTGCCGGCTCTCCATCAGGGCCAGGAGGAGCTTGGAAGCATTGTCCTGGGAGGAAGAGAGACCCTCGTGAGGGGAACTGTGCTCTGCCAGGGCTGGGAGGACCCACCTCCCGCTCAGCTCCCTCCACAGTGACAGTTTCAGCCCGGGGAACATGCAGGAACCCCCAGCTGCTCCAGGCATGTCCCAGCGATGGGCCCTGCACCCCAGCTGGAAGCTCTGCTTACCTTCAGCTGCAGGACCAGGTCCATCCGGTACTTGCAGAGGGGGCTGATGTCATTGAGGATGAGCGCTGTGATTATGTCGATCCCGTTGGACTCGTGCGTCACGATGCAGCTCTAGGGGAGAGATGCATTTGTCATCCCATGGATGACGCCATCCCTCCAGATTCACCTGTGCCCCCCTCTTAATGCAACCTAAGTACCCAGCACATGCCCAGGGGTGTAAATGGTGCCATGGCATCAACACCGTCTGGGTCCCATCGTTCCAAGAGCCCCGGATCCCTTCTCTCCCCAGCAATGGAACCATCTACGGCCCCACATAACTGAGCTATGTGGTTACTCATAACTCTCATAGCATCTTTGCTTCCCTCGACTCTTCTGTTGTCCTGCTCCCTTTTACACCCCAAAAACAAGAGCTGGCCCTGTTTGCCTGCAGCTTTCCCAGGGATCCCCATGGAATGCCCCAGCGATGGTAGGAGCAACATGGAGCTGCCACGATGCCCACAGGCCCCTCGGAGGGGTCACCGCCAGCGCCCACCTGGTTCTCATGGCAGGGCCCCTGGCAGTACTCGGTCAGGGTCTCCAGGGTCTGGGTGATGAGGGCCACGTTGTACTCATTGATGTAGAGGCCCAGCAGCCCCAGGCCTCCCGTGGTGCTGCCGCACATGATGTCGAGGAACTGCAGCGTCTCGCACACCAGGTTGTAGTTGGTCTTGTTGTTCTGGCACCGGAGGAAGTTCTGCCGAGCAAACCCTGCACTTAGAGAGCTGAGCGGCATCTGACACCACATTCAGGTCCTGAGCCCCCTCCTGCCACCACCTTCCCAGCTCCAGCTCGGGGAATTTGGCCAGGGCCATCCCTGTGAGGTGCAGAGCAGCACCCATGGACACGGCAGAGGGTGCAGATGGGGAAGCTGAGGCTGGCGCATTGCCCACTTGGAGCCCAGTGAGGACCAGAGCCCGATTTTCCTGTGTCCCCGTCCTGGGGCCTCTGCCCCAATCCCGCTCATCGCCCCGTAACCAACCTGAAGGTCCCGGTTGTGGTTCTCACACAGCAGCTGCAGGAATCGCAGAATAGGCTCCATAATCAGGACTGTCACCCCCATTTCGTTGTTCTGGCCCTGCTCCCCAGCGTCGTGGCCTTTCCGGAATCCTATCGCCATTGGGTACCGGGAGGGGGTGCCAGGCATCACAAAAGTCTCTCCTCGTCCTAACGGGAGACCCAGATTCGTTACATCTGGCTATGCTGCAAGACAACCCTTGGCCCTAGCAGGGAGACCGTGACCCCATACCTTTGGAGCCGGGATCAGGCTCGTCCTTTTCTTCACGGGGCTTGTTCCCGATGTCACTCATGTTCACGGACACTGTAGACTTGGTCTCCTGCTGGGCCTTCTTCATCCGGTCATGCAACACCTTGAAGAACTTCTCGGACTTCTTGTCGCTGGTCATGAGGTTGTAAAAGGATTTCTGAGAGCAACAAGGATGGCAGTTTGAGTCTCCCCCGTGGGATCCGAACTGTCCATCCCAGCCTGTCCCTCTGCCTTGCTGGGCACCAGCACTTGAGACCTTGCCTGGGATACCCTGCTGAGCAGATTTACTGCCACAGTCCTCTTAGATTTACAGAGGTGGAGCACCCTGGGGTGTCCTATATCATAAGCAAGATAGGAGCTTGATAAATAGGGAGATGGATACCAGAGCCTGATAAACAGGGACTGCAGCAGATCTGGACCTGGAAAATCAATCTTTTGCATGTGTCATTTGTTGGCTTCCCCTGGTACGCATTTAAAATAGCTTAAGAGGGAGGTATCACCCAGGCTGCAGCTCATTTTAGCAGTACCCGGCAGAGGGCATCAGCAGTGTTCCAGAAACCTGCCAGCATCATCCTGCCTTCCGCAACATCCAGCCCTCAGGTTTGACCCAGATGCTAAAGTGGAAACTCAAGCAGAGATTTCTCCTCCTCTTCTTGTGGACGAGCAGCAAACACACGCAGCCACCTCGCTAACCAGCATCTGGCCAAGGGGCCAGGGACCAAGGACTGTCCTGCACGTCCCACCTACCGCTGCTGGGGCCCTAGTGCTGCACACATCAAACCGCAGCTGCCCCGCTCCTTGGGGCAGTGCCAACCCGCAGCCGGAGCTCAGCACCTGGATCTCCGTGTTGCCTCCGTCCAGCAGCCGGATGGCGAGCAGGATGCTCTCTTGGAAAATCTTCTCGTTCTTGGTGTTCATGATGAGGTCTGCCACCAGCTTGGTGGCCCCTTCTCGGTCCAGCCGGCACTGGACAGCAGCGATAGCCGACCAGTCCTGGTCTTGCCCTGCGCAGAAGGATCCAGATGTGGGGCCACGACACTGCGGGCATGGGGGGCAAGGAGCACAGGCAACAGGGTGGCTCTGTGCCAGGGCAGCTGGGCAAAGTGATTCCCAGTGGGACCTTGTCCCTTCATCTGCCCATATCCCTGCTCCGAATGGAGCTGGGGACACTGAGACCCTGGCCAGACCCTGGCCACATCCTGGCCAGGAACGTCCTCGGGAGTTGCACGTCAGCAGCGCAGAGAGCTGGGGACAGCGCAGGAGAGGGGCACTCACCTCCCCCAGCAGCATCCACGATTTCCCCTTTAGAGCTGGACTTCTTGTTCTGCAGGTAATTGTTCAGGAGCATTTTCCGCAGCAGGTTGCCCTGCCAAGACAAATAAACGTCACGAGGTTCCCAACTCTGGGGCCAGCGCTAGAGTGGAACGAGGCCGAGGGCCCACGGGTTGCGGCGGGTCTTTCCAGGCTACCAGGTGGAGGAGACGGGCTGGCGGGGCGCTGCGATGCTCACCCTCTCGCCGTACTTGTTCCTCTTCACCAGCATCTGCTGCAGCGTCCTCAGCACCTTGATGCAGAGCTTCTCCTCCGTCTCCATGAGGTCCTTGGTGTGCTGCACCAGCCTGGTCACGCAGAGCAGAGCCACCGTTACGCAGCCTGGAGAGGCTCCTACCTCCCCGGGTCTGCAGACCACCCCGAATCACAACTCCAGCTCTTCCCAGCACTCCGAGCACTGCGGGCAACTGCAGAGCACCCTTACTTGGAGAGGAAGCCTCCGCTCTCGCATCGCTGGTAGGCCTCCGTCCCTTCCATGAAGAGCAGCTCCGGCCGGTGCAGGACATCCACGAGCACCGAGAGCTCAGCCTCCACCAGAGGTTTCAAGCGGTCCTCCAGGGCATTGATGATGTCCTACAAATCCCAGCACCAACGTTTAGGGCCAACTCAAACAGCACGGGAGAGGGACCATGCAGTGCCGATTGCTGCTGGCTTTCACCCTCTGCCCGCCCTGTACCTGCAGCTTCTCTATGATGTTCTTGTAGTCCCACTGGTTGGGGGTGGCGGAGACGCGGGGGAAGGTCCGCGTGGCCGTCTTGTAGCTGGCCGTGTTCCTCTGCACGGTGCTGGTGGAGCTGCTGTTGAGCAGAGAGCTGACGTGGGCATCCAGGTCCATGGGCAGGGCGATGGAGCGGCTCTTGGCTGCGGGCAGAGGGAGCCGGGTCAGGGCCAGCGCTGGGGAGGCCACCCAAGCCACGAGCTGGATGCTACTGCAGTGCCTTGGCCCGGGCACCCCTTCACCGGCTCTTCAAAATCAAGATTTAGGTTAAATACAAAATAAAACTCCCCCAAGGGAGTGAAGGGTCGAGTATTTCCCCGCATTGCTCCCCTCTGCAGCAAAGCGTCTAGTGTCTAGTGTCTATAAGTACCTCAAGGGAGGCAGTGAGGAGGATGGTGCTGGCTTCTTTTCAGTGGTGGCCACCGACAGAACTAGAGGTAACGGCCACAAACTGCAGCACCAAAAGTTCCACATGAACTTAAGGAAAAATTTTTTAACAGTGAGGGTGCCAGAGCACTGGAACAGGCTGCCCAGAGAGGTTGTGGAGTCTCCTTCTCTGGAGATCTTCAAACCCGCTTGGACGCAGTCCTGTGCCACGTGCTCTAGGTGACCCTGCGTGTGCAGGGTCACGGAACTGAGGTTCAGGGATCTCCATGAAGGCTCATGCTCCCACGTCCAGGCAAATGACACAGGTACCAGTTTCCCTTAAATTGCCCACACGCCTCGGTGGTAACACAGCTCCAAAGCGAGGAAGGAACCAAATGCAGCGGGGGAAGAACGAACAATAGGCCAGGTCAATAATCTGCAGAGATGAATAGTTAATTTATCTGCTGCCTTTTATCTCCATTAACGCCATCGTGTACATGGGTGGCTTTCCAAATCATGCCCTGCAAGGCTGGGCATGTATCCCAGCCTGGAGGTTCCAGTAGCTCCTCAGAGGGTCTTCTTAAGGAACCTAACGGTGAGGGTGCCAGAGCACTGGAACAGGCTGCCCAGAGAGGTTGTGGAGTCTCCTTCTCTGGAGATCTTCAAACCCGCTTGGACGCAGTCCTGTGCCACGTGCTCTAGGTGACCCTGTGTGTGCAGGGGGTTGGACTAGATGATCTCTAGAGGTCCCTTCCAACCTTCTATGGTCCTTCTATGATTCTATGAAAGCGTTGCCTAGAGCCTGGCCTGGCGCCGTGGCACTGTGGGCAGCAGCACGGCCATCAGCTTTCCCTTGGGAAAGCACAGCTCGGAGTCTGGAAGAGCCCTGCCTAAAACTTCCAAGGGGAATCCTCGGAGCGCAGCTCACGTCCCCACCCAGCACCTACCCACGGAGCAATCCTTTCCGTGCGGTGACTCAGTGCTAACAACCCTGCTCCGAGTCAAACAGCCACAGGCGGCTGAGGGCAAAGTCCTGGAGAGGGAGAACTGCCATAAACGCTGACTTTATTTCCGGGCCCTTCGCCAGCAGGGACACACCAGGAATCTCCCGAAGAAATGCAGGCTTTGGCTATTCCCAAACCACCACGGTGGCCCCCAGAGACCCTAGCTTGAAATGCACATCTTGGAGCCAAACCTCCCTGTTCTGGGCCAGTAGCCCCTCACCAGGGCGCCCTGCCAAGACCCGCAGCAGGGATGATCGCTCTTGATGCTGCCACGAGCGGAGGCGGCCGAGGGAGGCCGCGTCCTCGCGCGCAGCGGCGCGGCGGAGCGTCCCCGCGCCCGGCTCCTTACCGACCATGGCCAGCGTGCGGATGCAGGCCTCCACCGAGCTCTTGTGCTGCTGCTGCAGCCAGGGACACTCCAGCAGCCTCATGGTGGACTGGAGAAGCTGCACCACGATGGTCTGATGGGTCTGAAGGAGACAGTAGGTGGCTCAGTACCGCAGCGAGACCCTTCCAGGTCCAGAGCCGGGTGAGCCCCCCGCTTCTCCCCAGGTCTCCTCAGCCCCAGTGATGCTCCCTGAGGGAAGCCCAGCCAGGACTTGGCCAAGCAGGGCTCCGTTACCTGCAGTGAGGTGCTGTTTTCCGAGAAAGGGGAGCTGAAGAACGCATTGACGGTGTCCAGCACCACCGTGAGCACGTACTTCTCCAGCGTGGGGTCCGGGAGGCGCTTCTCTCGCTTCTTGCACATCTGCAGAGAAAAGAGCCCGCTGACGGCACCGAGGCGCCGTGGTGACGTTCACGAGCATCCTGGCTGGATGCCCATTGGCACGCAGCAGCCTTGCTGCGCAGGGAACGCTTGGATCCTGGATCTATCTACCCCAGACAGCCCCGATGGCTCCCCAGCCCGTAACGGGGCAGCCCTCCAGGCTACATCAGTCCTCATCGTGTCCGAGCTGCATATCTGGCCCTGGGGAGGTCCCAAGCTTTGAAGAAGCCTTGGGTGGGTTCAACCTGCCCCCAAGCCAGGGCAGGGGCCATTCCTGCCATGCCCCAGCCCTCCTCACGCACCCGTGCCATGTCGAGGGTGAAGTTCTCAAAGAGCGTCCAGATATGGTTGCTGGTGTAGATCTCCTTCATCTCCACCTCCGTGTCCACGTAGCAGTGGTTGACAAAGTTCACATAGGCCATCTTCACCTGCCGAGGGAGGGAGGAGGACACGGGCATGGGGATGGGAAGGCGAGCATCGCTCACCATCTGCATCACGGAGACCCTCGCTCATGGCAGCAGGAGCTGGGGACATCACATCCCAGCCGGTCCCCTCCCTTCCTAGTGCTGAGCTCCATGCCGTACCTCGGTTATGCAGTCCTCGTGCGTCACCACCCGCACCACGTCCTCCAGAGGCAGCAGGGACGTGCACTTGATCTCCGTGTAGACGTTCTTGCCCTCGGCGCAGGCAGCCAACAAGTCTACCAGCGAGATGTGGTACATGAGGGGGCTGTTCTCCTCCACCCCGTCCCTGGCTGCGGTCATCATCTCCAGGAGGGTGGCCAGCGAGGCCTTGTCATTGTAGAAAACCACCACATCGTCCCCGGCATTGGTGAGCTGTGGAGGAAGCTTAGGGGTCACCACTCTGGAGATGGAGGATGAAGAAACCTCAGGGGGACAAAAAAAACTTCCTCTGCCCAGAGCAAGCAGAGGAGCTGCTCTGAGGTACAGTCGGGGATGAAAGTGTCACGTATTTGCAGGCAAAACATGGCATTTGCAGGCAAAATATGGCATTTGCAATGCAGCTAGACTTACAACCCATGGGAGGCCCTGCTGCAGCACATCACCGGGAAGCAGCAAGGGAAAAACCAACCCCAATCTAGGGGACCATGTTCTCCAAAACAGTGACCAACTCTTGGACCTCACTTCAAAACCTTAGAGCTGTTTGCGACAAACCAGCACAGCAAAGAAGGGCTCTTCCCCTCAGGAGAAGCCAACGCTGCCCCTCCTGGGGACCATGTCCTGCTGCCACCACACGCTCACGCAGGGAGAGGGGCTCTCACCTCGGTCATGATCATGTCCTGGCACTTCTTGACGTACTTGCCCTCGGCCTTGATGATGGTGTGCAGGAAGTCAAGGTACTGCACGTGGCGGCCGTGGGTGGCCACGCAGTGGATGAAGTGCTGCGGCACCGTCTCGTTGATCTCCGAGCAGAGCTGGTAGTTGTTGAGGAAGATGTGCTGCATCGTCTCAGCCTCCAGGAGCTGCGGGACACGGTGGGGACAAAGTGAGGCCGGGGGCTGTGCAAGGCCATGAGGAATAGCCATGTCCCAACCCTCTTCCTCTCTCAGGGGTCTCCTCCCAGGTTTTCCATCTCTTGCCCTTGCCTGCTGCAGGTCTGCACCCTTCCAGCCCCAGGAAGGGAGCCAGCGTCTCTCCCCACGCCACCGCCTGCGGCCATCCTTCAATCCTATCCATTTACCCCTGGCGTCAGGAAGAGGTTGAGATGTTTATGCAAAAGCGCCTGGTTTTCCTGATTGCCAGCACAAAACTTCTGCAGGAACTGGTGGGTGAATTTCAGGATCTCCATCATCTTGGTGTCACCCTGAGGAAAGGCAGAGAACAGAAGCAGCGTGAGTCAGCGAGGGATGCAGAGGAGGGAACAGGCCCCAGCTCCTGTCCTGTCACCAGGAGTCCCTGCACCCTCCATCCCTTTTCCCAGGCACTTGGAGCACCATAGAGCCCAGCCTGCTTTTGCTCATCCACCTTTTCGTACGGGATCTGCAGCAGATCCAGCATCACTTTGTGGGCATCCATGTTCTTCAGCAGGCGCTGCTGTTTCTTCCGCACTTGTTCTCCAACTCCACACATCTTATTCAGCCGTTCCAGGATCTGGGAAGAGAACAACCATGGCCCAGAAGGGACCTGAGACTGGGCGTCCATCAGGACATTCAGCAGTGCTGAGAGCCTGCTTGAGATCCAGAGGCAGCACCTCCAGCCCTCGTTTTGTGCATTGCTCACAAATCCTGGCATCCCACTCATGAATCCCGTCCCTCTCCTTACCAGGCCTTGGGGATGCTGCCAGAGAGGGTTTGGGGATGTCACTTACCCCCTTGACTATCTGATAGTTCTCGCTGCTCTTCTCTCCCGGAGCAATGACCTCTTCATCAGCAGTGAGCTGCAAGGCAGGAGAAATGGGTCAAGATCCCGCTGCCATCCCCACGAGCATCTTGATGCCGGGGAATTACTGCAGGAACCATTCTGGCTCTCCTCCTCCGGGGAGAGACATGGGGGACCCAGCAAGGGGAGATGCACACTGG